AAAATTTTAAAGATCTACGATTTTTTTTATTTTTTGACAATTATTTCAATGGCATAAAGTTAATGGAAAAGTTACAAGAGATGAATTTTGGACCAACAGGTACTGTTAGACGGGATAGAATGAAAATCTGCCCACTCACAGCAAAAAATAAAATGAAAGAAAGTAAGAGAGTAGCATACGAGAGCCTCCTAACAGAAGATAAAAATATAATAGCAATACAGTGAAACGATAATAAGATCGTGAATTTGCTGTCAAATCAATTTGAAATAGCAGCGATTCAAAAAACACGAAGATTTTCAGCTGCATCTAAAACAAAATTTAAAAACTGTGTAAAAATAAGACAGTTAAAGCTTGTCAACACTGGAATAACCCTCTGCATAACAAATGTTTCAAGGAATATAACAAATAATTTATTTATTATTTTGGTTAGGTTTGTTTACTTACTTATGTTATGTTTACTTATAATATGTTTCAAAATACTTTGTTAATAAAATAATTATTAAAAAATATATATCTCATCCTTCCCTTTTATTTGAAAATTCCTTCTATAAAAATGAGCAAAACCATATTTTTACATGCCGCTTTTGTCCAAGGGATCGATAACGATCCATGTATATATGTCTACTATTAATGACGTCAGGCTATCAACAAGCTCAAATATAACAAAGCCCCAGGTCCAGATATGATAACAGCAGAAATGCTTAAAGCCACAGAAGAAACCGGCGTAAAGTTACTTTATCTACTCTGTAACCAAATATGGCATTCCAAACAATGGCCTGAAGACTGGACAAAATCTACAATAACGACCATACATAAAAAAGGCAGCTTCCATAAATGCGACAATTATAGAACTATCTCTCTTATATCCCATGCCAGCAAGATAATGCTACATATAATCAATGAGAGACTGAAAACATTCCTTCAAAGAGAAATTCCACAAGAGCAAACTGGATTTACCAAAGGTAGAGGCACTCGAGAACACCTGCTGAATATAAGACAGATAATCGAGAAATCTAGGGAATTCAACATCCCACTGTACATCTGTTTTATAGATTACCGTAAAGCGTTCGACAGGGTCAAGTGGAGACACTTATGGCGAATACTAAAAGAAGTAGGCGTACCACAACATCTAATTACGCTTATAACTTAACTATATGAACACACTACTGGATCAGTTAAAGTACTTGACACACTTTCGAACGAGTTTCATCCAGAACGGGGTGTCAGACAAGGATGTATACTACCTCCACAATTATTCAACATATATGGGGAGTATATTATGCGAAGAGCACATGAAGGATGGGAAAAGGGCATCTCAATAAATGATCATAAACTAAACAACCTACGTTTCGTAGATGACACAGCCCCTCTTGCAAATAGTCAAGCAGAGCTGATGGAACTTATACGACTGATCGAAAACGAAAGTCAAATATTTGGTCTGCAATTAAACATATCAAAGACAAAGATCATGATAGTGGATAGAATACACAACAATCATCCACACATAACCACAATTGACCGGTTCGAGGTTGTGAGCTCATACTTATATCTGGGATCATTAACCCTGCATCACTCGCGCCTTAAAAAATTACGCGAGAACTCGCGCGTGAGAATTTCTCTCACACGACGAACCCTTCAAGATTTTGTTCGGTGTAACTGTTTTTATTTTTTTTTATGCAAATGAAACAAAACTATTGGTAATAATAAAAGGGTTTATTTAAAATAAATGCCAAAAATAGAGTTATAAGTACATTAAAAATACTAAAAAGAAAACTTATACAATGCTAAGAACTAAAAAAAAATACCCTGTATATTTTATTTTACATCTATCTTTAAATTAATGTTATCCTTAAATCAGATAAAATAAACATAATATTAATCAAAAATTTAATCATCTGAAGTACCACTATTATCGTTTACGCCAGAACACGTTGGACATGTGAAGGTGGTATGCTCCGTGCAAATGGCAACATTGCAGCTAACACATCGTTTTTTTTGACTTCCTGTTCTTTCTTCTTGGACAAAATCCACAGAAATCTGGAACAGATTCTCTGTTCTGTTCAATCTGAGGCATATTTAAATATTCCCTTAGCATGCTTCGAATATTAATTGGCAAAGACCTGATCGATGAACGACGAATCAACAGAGGTTTAATCAAAGCTTCGGCCAGATGATTGAGATAAATTCTACGTTCTTCAATAACTTCGGTATTACTTTTATATACAATATTGGAATTAATAGCAGCAACGTCCAAAATTGTAAAAAAAATTCTAAGTGGCCATCGGCAACAATATCTGGAAACAGAATAAGTTGATTTTAATTCATCAACCACATCGACACCTCCTTTTGTTAGGTTATAAAATGTAATGATCTCAGGTTTTTCCAGTTCGCCAGATTCAGGATCGATGTAGTCCCCAGAATGAAATGTAGATAACATCAATACGTTTTTCTGAGGTTTGGGTTTATACGATAATAATACAGTATTCTTTCGGAAACCAAACATGCTACTAGGTACAGGTCTTTTCACATTTATAAATATTGGCGGAATTTCCCTCTTGTTTTTCCTTAGGGTACCAACAAGTGTAGTTTTCCTATCAAGTAATTGTTTGGCTAACGGCACTGACGTGAAATAATTGTCCATAGTTATATTTCTACCTGTGTTTAATATGGGATTTGCTATACGCATAACAACAGCAGATGCAGAGTTGTCTAGATAAAAAGGGCCAACTGGCTGTTTTCCTGCATATATCTCCATATTGCAGGTATAAAACATCCTTGAGTCAACTAAGGCATATATTTTAATGCCGTATTTGGCCGGCTTGTTGGCTATATATTGCCGAAATTTACATCGCCCTCTAAAGCTTTCCAACATTTCATCCACTGTACAATACTCTCCAACTTGGTAGTTTTCTTGACACTTGGACACAAACTGTTCAAATATGTTTCGAATGGGAGCCAAATTATCGTATTTTTTTCTTTCGTTTCGGTCATTGATATTGTCAAATCTTAGTGCTCTTCCTAAAATATGAAATCGTTCTCGTGACATCGTTAGTCTAAAGCAAGCAGGAGCAAATATTGAATCAGCCCAAAGTTCTTTAGTATTTAGATATTGAGCCTTTCGTACCCCAGCCATGTATAGGAGGCCGATAAAAGCATATATTTCTGTAGCGTCTGTGTCACGGCAATCTCTTTCTCTCGTATAGTTACCTCGTATTTTTGCTAGATAGATATTTGTGCATTGTACGATTTCTTCAACCATTTCTTTTGTAATATATAATTCCCAGCATGCTTCGACAGTATTTGCATCTTTTGCAATATTTTTTACTCCGGGAAGATGACTAACAATATTTTTTGTAGGCACTCTTACGTTAGGTCGTGGAGGATAAGCCATCCAGTGAGTTTTTTTGTCTTTACCAGTGAAATGATGTTTTGATGTATATGCGGGATTATCGTCAACTTCATAAACAAAATTTTCAACTTCTACATCAGATTGTTCGGAATCGGTATTATGCATACTATGTTCACTGGAAGCGTCACTTTCAACATCCACTCGTCCGCCATCTTCCATAATTTCTTGATTTTGACATTCCTCTTGCCCACTCCATGGTATGTTAGCTGACATACCTTCTCTTTGTGCCTCTTCATATCGAATTCGCCCTAATTCTGCAAGCGTCAGTCCTCTACTCATTGTTTACTATCTAAAATAACAATACCACAATAATAGAACACCTTGACCTTATTTAAAAAGCAAATAAAGTAGTTATGTATAAAAAAATCTTAAATTTACTTACCAAAACTTTATTCAACCTTAAGAAAATATACTACGTTAGAACTTGCGCGATGAGAGAAATTCTCACAGAGATCTGCACACGATCGACAAGTGCCCGATATCTATTACCAACATGCACTATTACTAAATATTGCATGCGCTCAAGCGTAACAACGAAGACCCTTAGAAACTCAGCTAGAAGTGGGGGTAGCAGTATGCGTGATTTACCGTTAATAAAATTTGCATTTTACTGGTAGGTGTGAGAGAAATACTCATAGCGCGAGTGATGCAGGGTTAATCACAAACACAGGGTCATTACAAGAAGAAATTAAACGTAGATGTGATCTAGCAACAGTTGCCACAGCAAAAATGACCAAAATATGGAAGGACTGACAAATTTCAAGAGCGATAAAGATGAGGTTGATCAACTGCTTAATATTCCCAATACTGACCTACGGATGTGAATCTTGGACTCTGAGACAATCGGAGAGAAGAAAGATAGACGCCACTGAAATGTTCTGTTGGACCGACCGTAGAACAAATAATTCAATTTTAAGAGAGCTAAAAGTTAATCTCCAACAATTAAAATATTTTGGGCATGTTATGAGAGCAAACACAGAACACATGGAAAGACTCATAACACAAGGAAAGGTAGAAGGCCGAAGATCACGAGGAAGATCTTCAACAAGATGGATAGATCAAATTACAGGAATATGCCAAAGACCTATGCATGAATTAAAAGAAATGACCAGAGACAGAGATCTCTGGAGACGGACAATACACGACATCACGTCGACCACTACACTCCCCCTGGGGGGTCAGGATTGAAGAGAGAGAATGACGTTATAATTTTTGAAATATTTTTTTCACAATTTGATCCATTGAAAAGCAACATATATCAAAATAAAGTATATGTAAAAGAAAAAATAGTTCTAGGCATAAATGGGTTAACATATTTCTCAAAATGTCGCATATTCATAGATATGAGTATTACTTCAATATTTTACGATTAAAATACTATTTCATTATTTTTGGCCTCCGCTATCTCATTGTATCATTTATCAGATTAGGACAAGGAAAATTTGGTTTTTTTAGTTAAAATATTAGTCTCATCTAATTAACTTCAAACTACTTTTAAATTTCCAATCAATCCTACGTATTATGCATCTTCCTGTATTTTTATTGGTATAAAAGCAACTCAATAAAGTTATTTATAAATCGTTCTACTATTCAAACATTTTGAATTTAGAAACTAAACACATAGTCTATATATTAGTTCATTCAGATGTGTTCGAGAGAGGTTACACTATATTAATATCCCTGAATTGGATCACGTTCTGACACATATGGACCGTGTCTAAGAGAACCGTAGTTAATACAAACATATTATTTCAACATCTGTAAATACTGTGTTGATACTTATTTACAATTGTGGTGTATGGTAAAGTAAGTCTTAAAAAATGAACAATAGTTGTAATTGTGAAACTGACAGTGACAGTGACGAATCTACTTCTGAGGAAGATTCAGATTATTCTGAAGATGAACAGGATTCTAGAGAACCAAGATCAACACAAGGTCGTCGTCGGTGAGTACTTTAATATTTAATTTACATTCTTTTGTTATAAACTATTCTAAAAAGTTTCACTATAGCGTATGTTTTTAACAGTGAATTTGTTGACAGTTTTTCTTAAAAGGTCTAGTTACTTGTTTGCTTGTTTATAAAATGTTTCGTATAATTTTTTACAGACATAAACCTTTCTATTAGGAATATTTATTGATAAAAATTGTAATATTTTGCCATACGTAAAGATGTATACAAATATTTTAGATCTATAGTCCTATGATTACACTTCAGTCTGGCTAGTATCTTTTGTTTGCACCTTAGTTTCAAGTCTAGAAAATCTTTTCTATTACAATTTTCCGAGAAAAGTTCTTAGGTGTTTCTCGTTTTTGTTTCCCTTCAGCTACCTCTATCCTCGTTGCATCTTTTTCTTGGTAAATTCTCTCTAAGTGCTCAAGTCATTACAGCTTTCAATCTTTATAATATTACTTATGTGTGCTTTGTCAAAGAATGTATCTATTCCTGCCATTGTTCGTCGCTGTTTGCTAACAAGTACCTAAAACCTCTTCTACTTACGGTGCCTTATCCTTAAGAACGTTGGCCATTACATTTGCCCATTTAATTTTATTTGTAGCAGCACTGAATAGTTCTATGGAGGTCATGTTCGTCCATTGCCATAGGATTTTAAGCCAAGAGTTGCGTCTTCTTCCTGGTCCTCTTTTGCTATTGACTTTGCCTTCGATTATAAGTTGGAGCAGTTCATACTTTTGATTTTTTATGATGTGACCAAAATATTGTGTTTTCCGTTCTTTTATTATGAGCATAAGCTCTCTTTCCTTATTTATCCTCCGCAAGACTTCCGCATTTGTCGTATGGCTCATGTAGGATATTCTGAGCATTTTACGGTAATACCAGAGTTCGAATGCTTGGATTCTTTTTTGTGTTGCTTCTGTCATTGTTCAGGCTTCAACACCATAAAGCAAGGTAGAGAAAACATAGCACTTAAGTATTCTATTTCTCAATGAGATGCCCAGCTGGCGGTTGCATAGAACTTTTTGCAGTTTGTTAAACATTGTACGTGCCTTTTCCAGACGTATTCTTATCTCTAGTGAGTGGTCCCAAGTTTCATCAAGATTACTTCCAAGGTACATTGTTCTTGTTACTCTTTCCAGATCTGTTCTGTCGACATTGACCTTCACCCTTCTGTTTTGGTGCTTGCTGATGACCATCGTTTTTGTCTTCTTTGTATTCAATTTCATTCCAAATTATCTACAGGCTGTCGTTACTCGGTCCATTAAGCGTTGCAGGGCTTCAGCATTATCTGCCAGTATGACAGTGTCATCAGCATATCGCAGGTTATTTATACATTGCCCGTTTATAATTATACCATCCGAGGTGCCTTCCAGAGCTTTCTGAAATATCTTCTCAGAGTAAACATTGAACAGCAAAGGTGATAGGACACATCCCTGTCTTACTCCCTTCTCGATATTGATTTTTCCAGATGTTTCGCTTTTTATTCTGATTTTAGCCTTTTGTTCTTGGTAGAGCTTTGAAATGATCCTTAAATCTTTATCGTCGATATTACATGACCTTAAAATATCTACTAGTTTATCATGTTTCACCAGGTCAACCTTTAGGTTTTAGGTTTCACCTAAAACCTCAAGGTTTCATAATAGGATATAGGCGGGATCTGTTTTGAATTGGTCATTTTCCATAGGAGTCTACTTTTTTGCTAGAATTACTTCAGGATGTACTTTGTAGCAATAATCAGGATATGCGCCAGTGGCAAACCATGTACTTAATATTATATAAACACACTATGTATTGGGATTGCTGTTCCACAACCTTACCTTTACTTGAGTACATGTTAAACAAAAATATTTTTTTAACTGGTACAATAATGAGATCCAGAATACCCAAAGCAGTTCATGTAACATTGGAAAAGGTGATGAGTCGATTAAGTCGTGGTTCTTCTGAGCTGATGAAAAAATTAACATAGTCCAATGGTATGATATGAAATCAGTTATGCTAGCGTCAACTGCGTTACAAATAGATTCAGATGAATGTACGCAATAGTCAAAAAGGACTCCCGATACGTTGAGATACCTAGACCAAACATTGTGATAAAGTACAACGAATCCATAGGGGAATAGACTTAATTGTCCGGATGATCAGTTATTATCGAATGAGAGCTAGAAGTAAGAAACGGACAGTCAAATCCATTTTTCACTTATTTGACCTTGCGTTTCCCATTGTTGGATTCTATACATAGATGACCATAAGCTGCTTCATTATCATCTTTTTCTCGACAATCCTCTGTGGATCTTGGCCTGCTCTAAGATTCGTCGCCATTCTGTTCGGTTTTTGGCAACATGTTGCCATCTTCTGATTTTTAATATTCGTAACTCGGTTTCTACTCCATCTAACCACCTAATTCGCGGTGGTCGGCCTTTGCTTCTTTTTCCTACAGGTGTTCCTGTGGTTAGCTTTTTAGCAATGGTATTTTCTGGCATTCGTATTATGTGTCCAGCCCATCTAAGTCGCTGTGTTTTAATGAACGTTATGACATCTGGCTCATCAAAGAGCTGATAAAATTCAAAATTATATCTTCTGCGCCACTGCCCTTGGTCGTTTACAGCTCCAAATATTTTGCGGAGTATTTTACGCTCAAATATTCCCAAAAGTCTTTCATCTTTCTGCGTTAGAGTCCATGTTTCTGCTCCATATTTGAGGACCGGCCTCAGCAATGTTTTGTATAGTTTTGTATATAATAATTTTAGTTTTTCTTTGAATGTTTCTTGAGTGGAAATGCTTTTGGAGTCCATAGTATGCCCTATTTGTAAGATTTATTCGTCTTTTGATTTCTTCGCTTGTTTTATTGGTAGCAGTCAATAGCGACCCAAGGTATGTGAAGTTGTCAACACGTCCAAAGGTATGACTTCCAAAGACTGTTTCTCGTTCCTCATTTGCTATCGGATCCTTTGTAACCAACATGTACTTGGTTTTGTCTTCGTTTTTACCAATTGCCAGATGAAATGTTTGATATGGAGTCAGATAATAGTTAACGAACATCTTGAAGTTTAAATGTATGATTTCTTGCAACATATTCCTTCATTTGAGCGCAGATTAATTCTATGGGATTAAGTTCTCAGTGATAAGTTGGTAATCTCAACACTTTCACTCTATATTGTTTTGCTATTTCATCTACACTATACTCTTTTTTTTGAGTAAACCTTCTACTGCCACTACTATTTCTTTGGTAACTAGCCAATCCAAGAATTCTTGCTTTCTTCCTTTTGTGTTAGGTAAAACAACATTTGATATTGAATGGTAAGTGGCAATGTCCATGACTATTACAAAATTGGTCGGTAATAAATCTATCATTTGACTGAAATATTCCTTAAAAACATCAGCAGTCATTTTTTCATGGTAGTCGTTCGTAGAATTTGAAATAAAATAGCAAGACTCCATCAGCAAATCCTTTATATCCTCCAATATGAGTAATATTTAAACAGCGACCTTTACTATTTGCCATATTGGGACCGTGCAAGTTCGGAACAGCGACATCTGGTGTCGTAAATCAGCAAAATTTACTGCGCTTTCATGTTAGATCGAGATTACCGGATAACTGTCAAGCACGTAGCCCCAAAAAAGAATAAGAAGAAAAAGTAAGATTGAGGTTATGTCGGTATGTTATTAAAAGGTAAACGTTGTATATAGTGTAAATACAAATAAATATATTATTAAATTACAGCATTACTGTGAGTATGGATGCAATAATAAAAACTGGATTTGACCAAATAACTTTTCAACCAAGCACTGAGTCAAAGGAAAAAGCTTTAGTAGTGGCAAATGTCAAAAAAGAATGAAAGAATTATGTGGAAGAATTAAGAAAAATAAATTACCATAAATAATGCTAATGCATAAATGCATAAATTAGCAGGTTAAGCCCATGATATCATCATATTGGTTTGAACAATTAATTCTTTCCCTGTAAACTTTTGGACAGCGAATATATCTTAATGCATCTTCAGAAAACTTGAACTTGATGCATTTTTGTAAACTTCAAAAAAATAAAATTTAAACATTAAACTTGATTTTTGGGTTAAAACGAACTCTAAGTGAGTGTTATGAAACTAAAATTTACACTTAAAAGTGAACTTTTATTTATTTCAAACTGACTTTAAAATCGGGCGCAAGAATAATGCATAATTTAGGTTATGTTACTTATGCTTTTTTATGATATAAATCCACTTTTCTCTTTGTAGTAGCTTTGTGCTTCGAAGTTGGAAACGAATAAAACTTAAATTGACAATTTTTTGTTGTATTTTTACAATTTATAACACAGCATTTCCTAAATCCCATTTTATTCAGTGACAGAAGGTGTAAATAAACAAACGAATATGAAATATGACAATTGACAATATGAATTTATGAAATCTATGAAATTTGCAGTAAAAAAATGCAAGATTTCTCCGCTACTCGCGCACGATCGTTTCTCGTATCCCCTCCAAGTACTTGCATGTCGCCAATATATTAAAAAATGCCATTCATTTATTCATGTTTCAGCTAAATAAAAAATACGTTTACATTCTCTCCTCAATTTTCGAATTTCCCTTAAGTATTCCCTCCTTTCAAAGAACAAAAAATGAGATTGATTTCAAGAAGTATTAGAGCAAAAACCACTTTTAACACTGAAGTTGAAAGAACAAAAATGATCCTCAAAAAGAAAAGTGGAAGGGGGATGTTCCCAGAAGATATAACACTTTACGAAGAAAATATTAAGACTAGTTTGGATACACACGACTTGGAGAATATCAGCATCAATGAAATGAACAATAATATTACTCAAATATGTTTTAATTAAATAATAACGATAATATTTTAAAATGTGACACAATTGTTAAAAAACTTCAATATAAATAAGCTTTCATGTGGCAGTTGGGACAAACAATAACATAACCAAACTAAATTTGATTTCTTAAACAAGGAAAGACTCTCTTTCCTTAAGACTCCTGCCTCTT